ACCAGAACTTGATCGCCTGACTGAGGGAGATGATGTCAAACATCAGAATGGAGAGCGTGCCATGGTGCTATCGGACAAGATTACCGCGGTCGCCCGTCGCATTCTTCCAGGCCTCCGGCTGTACAGCACTTGGTTCGCGCGTTATTGGAATGTTCTCAATGCGGAAATCGCCGATACCCTGACCACGGTTGATGTTCAAGAGCTGTGGAAAGCATACGCTGCGACACTAACCCTTCTAGCTTCGAGTTTTCCCGTCGATAAGCTTCCCGAGGAAAACTATATGCTTGAGGAAGACACGGATACCATCGGCTTCCAACCACTCATGTCTCCAATCACTATGAAAGTGTGGTACAACGGCGAAGCAATGAAGCCAAAATGGACTGATCTGGAGCGCAACCATCCGAATGTCGAGATGCTCATGCGTGTTAAAGATCTACTGATTGATGGTCTTCTTCTAACTCAAGATGTAGATGCTCCTTTGGATTTGGATGGCACACGATTCATCTACCGCGAAGCAGGCCTGCCATCTGAGCTCCTCGCAAGCCCAAATAACCGTGCCGAAGGCTCTCCCATACTTGGTGCCCAAGCTGTCGATATGCCACTGTTCCCTCCCGAGAAGCCGATTGCTGACGACCAGAAGTCTTACAGTGTCACTGCAGCTTCTGATACGGCTTCGACCACCTTCGCCAAGGACAATGCGATGCATCGAATGGTGGACGATTTAGTGGGAGTAGATGATACATTGGATCCCTTGGTTGAAGAAGATGAGAATATCCCACCGACTCCGCCAGAACAGACGTTCGAGGACACTGCTGTGGTTAACCAACATAGCTTCGCACCTGCGCCACTTTCGATCAATGATCTGGTCAACTCGGTCAAGAATTACAAGTCACTGTCTCCTATCCCTGGATCCGCAATGGTTTCTACACCAATGGGCCGGACTCTATCCACGTCTTCTATCCGCCAGCCCGCAAATTTGCCATCTCTGCCTGATGGACAATGGAACTCTAATTCAATCTGGAATCGCCAATACAGCACACCTGGCCCGTCATCACCCAACATGATCAATGGCAATGGACTCGGTCAAGACTTTCGTCGGTCGCCAATGATTGGTATGAGCCCAAGGATTTCAGGCCACGTTCGAGGTGATTCAGGCAACTCATTCAACGCGGAAGCCATGACACCCAATACACTTCGAGCATCACAACCCATCAGTGGCGGTCTTGGCAGTGGTGCTGCTTGGGGGATTCCGAGTGCTAGCCCTTCGACTTGGGGGTCTGTTTACGGTGGTGGTAGCTATAATGCGAACCAGTATGCATATACTCACGACGCGAACATGGCGAGCCCGTTGCTCTTCAGCTCCTACCAGGACAATGCGCATAGCTCCTGGGGACGCACTCCTCCGAACGGTCAAGGCGGCTGATCACTGACAATGCAGCCAAATGAGGCTGCCGCTTCTTGCCTTTTCCCAGCAATATGCCGTCAATTGTTTGCTCAAGCAACAATGGAATCCTCCGAATCAACAACCATACCCGATGTAAAACAAACTTCGAGTCGACATTTGTAGTCTACCCATTTCCGACTCTGCTGTTCACATCATGGCGATCCGGAGAACTTTCAGTGCTCAGCGTCTGTCTGCGCAGTTAGCTGCCACCACTAATACCGGAGGAGTAGAAGAGGATTGATGGCACAAATTGCATTCTGAGTTTAGTAACCTTTGCTTTGATCTTCGGAGCCTCCCATCTTCGGAACCTGGAATTATCTCGTCCCTTCACTGCGCTGCAAAACACCCACATATGTGGACCTTTTTGCATGCTAGCTAGCTATCGAGTTCGCCCGATGGCAGATTCGCGTCTTGGGTCTCAGTCTGCGGGTTACCGAGATTGAGACATGACCTGACCTGATTTGTTCTACGTGCTCAATTTGATAGATCGACGCACACAGATAGTGTGTGTAGGCTCGATTTATTTACCTTGGTAGTCAGTCAATTTATTCACGGAGTTTTTACTTTTGCGATAAGATGTTTGGTTTAAAGGTGCAATTCGAGAGTGATGTTACGTGCTGTTGACATATGTAGGCTGATCCCGGTAGAATGATTGTGAGTGTGTGTATGCCGCTTATCTGTTTGTACTGTGTATATCCGTATGGGTTTGACTGTGGATAGGTAGGTATGACTGCGGTGTCAAAGCACAGCCCCCGTGAATTGAAGTATACATCGATGAGAAGTAGCTGCATACTTAGGTAGGTAGGTAGGTATACAGAGATACCTAACTAAGACACGTCCTCGCTCGCGTACAGCTGATAGACCGCACTGCATCCTCGTCCATGGTTAACAAACCTCCCTCGGCAGGAAAATATTACCATGAAAGGTGATTGAGTGGCGGTTTTGGGGGTTTGGTATTAAGGATACTCGTGCATTGGTATGGCTACTTAGGTACTTAGCTAGCACAGACAGACTCGAAATGCTCAGGCCATTGAATACCAGCTAACTCATGATTTCTATTCTCATACACATACACACATACATGCAAATACAGAAGCACACGCACACGCACGCACGCTGACCGATGCGCAAGACACAAAGTTTCTGTCCGGAAAGAAGAAAAAACGCCTCACAATGCACCTTGCACCGCCCCATGACATTCATTCTCCCTGTGGCTAAGTAGGTAGGTAAACCACGCAGCCTTACTCCTCCTCCTCCTCGTCGTCCTCCGCCTCACCATCCGTCCGCTCAACAATCAAATTCCCACTCCGGCCAATCCGCTCCTTCAGCGTGCCCCCCTTGGCCAACTCAAACACTTCGCGCGGAATCGGCGATACGAGCTGGAATTTGTATTCGTGGGAGAAGTTCTGCGGCTCTATGGCGGGTTGGCTTGTGTCCTCGTCCGTAGATTGTAGAGTGTCGTAGCATTCTACGAATGCGTATAGTTCCTCCATGTGGGCGTCGGCCGCAAATCTGCGGACAACGCGGTCGGCACTCGGCATGCGGAGACTAATGCGCACAATGTCTTTCTCTTGAGCGGAGGGTTCAGGCCGCAGCGATGCAGCGCGCCAGCGGCGCCATTGTGCGAGGTTTGCGGCGTAGAGCTCGGCAGCTTGTTCGCGCTCGAGGGCTTCTTTCTCGGCGCGCGCCTGCTGCTCGGCTTCTTCTTTCTTTTTGCGGGCACGCTCGCGGTCCGTTGCGAGACTGCGCTCGTACGCGCTATCTTGCTGCTGGCGGATGCTGCGGGTTGCTTGCTGTTCTGCTCGCTGGCTGCGGACACGGTCCAATGGCGCGGTGTGCTGTTGTATCGCAGTGCGTAGCTTGGATATGTATTGCTGTGGGGGCGTTGGGCCGGCGATGCGTGTTGCGATGCCCATTGCTGTGCTGGAGACTTGTGGGGTGTGTACGATTAACCCCGTGAAGGGAAATTTCGTGCATGAGAGTGCGGAGGAGACCTGGTAGGCTTCGGGGTCCTGAACATTGCCAGCCCATAGTATGATGTTGTTGTTGGGGTCGCGGATGAAATCCACCACTTCCTGTGAGAGGAGTGTGTCCCGTATGAAGCTTGCCGTCTCGTCGTGCTCGGGGCTGATCAAAACGACCAGCATGAACTGGAGGTTCTTCTTCGCTAGATCAAATGCCTGTGCATATCCACTCTCGAAAAACGGCAGATTGTGGCTTCCATACTCTTCCTCAAATTCACGTATGAACCGCGCCGCCATATCTCGAGGATTCAAAGGTCTCCGTCCACTCGCAGACCGCCGTGCCGCCGGTGTATTGATATTGCTCGCTGTGACCCGTCCCCATGCCCTCGGCAGAAAAGGGAACATCCAGCCCATGAACCTGAACCACTTGCCCAGTAGCGAATACGCCAGCGAGAAAGGCGCAAACAGCACCGCAAGCACAAACGGAACTTGAGTCGCGACCTGGCCCTCCGGCTGCGGAACCACCCTCGGCGCAGGTTCTATCCGTACTCTTCGCGCGCTGCTGGTCGAAGATCGCGGGGACGAGAAGCCATTCAACAGTGTTTCCTGGCGGCGGACATCTTGTGGGGCGGCTTGGGCTGCGGCAGCCGCGACGGGGTCCTCGGTAGGTTCGCCGTCAAAGAAGCGAGTGATGGCTATTTGCGGATTCCACTCGCATCGTTGTAATAAGGGTATCGCCTTGTCGATTTCCTGGTCCGTCACTGCGGTGAATGTCTGGAGCGCGAGCTGTTGATCCTCGGTGAGTGACGCAATGTCAACCTCGGCGCCCGCCATGTTTGCGATTTGATCTTCGGCTATGAAATTTACAGTATTCTGTGTAATGTTAAATTGTCGGGGGAGATTTGCAGTCGGGTTCGGAAAGGACTGTGGTTGGAAGAGGCGAAGATTGGTGAGATGGGGAGATTGTGTGTTGCCTGGCCTCAACGGCGGTGATAGTCTTGGTGGTCGGAGCTCTGCCCTGCCCCATGGAAGCGGAACGCGAGGCTAATCTTCGGCCTTGCCGAACCATTCATATGCACATGCACTGAATGAAGCAAAGAAGAGGACGTTGTGATAAACAGCTCAAATAAGGGGAGAAATTAATACCAACTTTGTCGACAAGTGTATTGAGGGAGCCGTGGGAGCTTTCTAACCAGTTTTCACGCAATATATTCTGTATCATCGCAAATCAAACAATCTTTTCATCATCCAGGAAGTTTTGCCAACTAAAAAGAGCATCGTTGTAATAGCTACCTAGGTACGCTTCTACATAAATAAAATCTTATTCATCCAACCTCTCTTGTGACCATGATTCTATCTACCGTGCCTGCAGTACCTACGCCAAGACAATCCATTCGTCTCCCCTGCAAAAATGCAATGCCACCCTTTTCCTATGCCCCGCTTTGCCCCACCTATCTACGTAGCTAATCCCAAGCCCCCGCTTCGAATCTCCGCCTCCAGGCAGGCAAAATTGGGTTGCGTATGCAAGCTCCAATTGTATGTATATAGCTAATTTAATTCGAAAATTTGCCATCATTCGAGAATCAGATCGAGCCGGTTTGGCGCAGTGGTAACGTAAGTCCACTCTGAACAATTTCTCATACCAAATGCCCTTCTAACATGGTAATACAGGCGTCGCACTTGTAATTATCATGCATATGCGAAGATCGGCGGTTCAATTCCGCCAATCGGCACTTTATCTTCTTTTTTGCCTTTTTTTGTTCTTTTTTTTTTTGCTCTCTTGTGATTTCTTTATGAGCCATCCCATATGTTCGCTAACTCATTACCGATGTGTGTTGGGATGTAACAGGCTTTGGCATCACTCACGGCCCTGCCATCTCATGAGCCTGCTCAATGATCGGATGGCTGCCCTCCGCATGACGGGACCTCCCCTTCTTAGTCTTTCACAACACAGATGGATACAAACGTAGATAGTTCCGACTACGTCCCGACTACAAGGCATCTGCCTGGCAGGAGGCTCGTGCTGCACATGTATATAAGGAGTGTGCAACTCTACTCTTCAGATAGACAATCACAGTTTTCTAACACACCGTACAACTACTGTTGTAGGATATGATTCTCACTTGATATGTTTGCCATATCAATAGTATTGGTTTTTGTGGGATGACTTTTGCTCTTTGTAGCCACGATACTTGATCTTCACTCAAACTCATTGCGCACTCTTGTGGCTTGCAAACTGTTGTCTAGTCACATAACCATTTATTCATTCTCTCATATCATAATTCTGCCTAGTGCAGTATTTAAACCCCGGGTATCGATCAAGTGGCTGTTGAAAGGCCAAATCCCCCTCCTCGACAAGAACCCAACTCAATGTCCATGCCATCCATGTTTCCCCGAGTCTCCAACACAGAAATGTATCCTGACTCAGGCCCGATATGCACGCCCGCAGACTCCGCGGCTCATGCTTCTCGTAGATTGTTGAAATACACGAGCTGTGGCGCTCACTTTGCGGTGGCGGCCTAGCTGGAAGTGTAGGTCTGCTTTGGCGAGGGGTACGACGGGCCAAGCTGCTGGATGCTCAACTTTGCGAGCCACTGGCCCATGTCGATGGCCGTCTCGAGGGACTCGCCCTTGACGATGCCGGCGGTGAAGCCTCCAGCGAAGGCGTCTCCGGCGCCGTTGGTGTCGTTGATCTTGTCGTCGCCGATGGCGTGGACGGGGACCTCCTTGACCTCGACGTCGCTGCCTTCCTTCGATGTGACGGCGATGGTGGGGTCGGTGCCTTGTGTGAAAACAACGGTCCTGGGCCTGCTGGTGTTCTTCTTTGGCAGCTTGGCGATCTCCTTTGCGATTTCCTTGACGTCCTTGGAGGCAATGCCGTGCGATTCAGCGTAGGCAGCGGCCTCGGTCTCGTTGCCAATCAGAATATCGACGTAGGGTAGGACCTCGTCGAGAGGATCCTTGAAGAACTGCGAGATGAAAGGAGCTGAGAGATTGAGGATGAAGGTCTGTAGTGAGTCAGTATTTTTGTTCTCCAACTAGGTACTCAAACATGCTCCATACCTTGTTCTTAGCAGCGGCCTCCTCTGCCAACGCTTTGATGGCGGGTACGCAGACGGTCAAATGGAATCCACCAACGTAGAAGAATTGTGCGTTCTCAACCTGTTTCCAGATACGCTCCTCCTTCAAGTGGTCGACCTTGTAGTTGTTCGCGGCAGCGAGATCGGTGCATAGCGAGCGGTTGTGGCCGGTGATGACAACACCGCAGCGACCAGTGGGTGTCTTCTCGTCGTAGAGGTATTCGACCTTGACGCCGGCGTCGCTGGAGATCTTCTCCAGGGTCTCGCCGTACTTGTCCTTGCCAATGCAGCCGATGTAGACAACAGACTCGGGTTGGAGGATGTACTGTAAAGCGATATATTAGCTAATGTAGGGAAATATATTGGGAGGGAATAAATCGCAAAAGCGTCTCCACTTTGATCTTGTGGAACTGAGAGGAAAGGTCTGGTCACGTACCGCCGCACCTCGCGCAGTATTTTGCGCAGCTCCACCAGCGATCAGAACAGCGTTGTAGTTCTGGATCAGGTCCTCATAAAGACCCATATGCTTCTCCGGGTCTGCGAGAATCGCATCATTGGCCTTCAAGCCATACTTGTCGAGGAGTGCTTGGTCTCTGTAGCCAGTTAGAAAAAGTCTACATTACATGATTCAACTCCAGCATCAAGCTGCATGATCAGAGACTTGGATAGTGGACTTACCCAACACCCTGGATATCCAGAAGCGGATTCTCCAGGCAAAGAAGCTCGTATTTTCCAGGCATTGTGGCTGTAGCTGTGAAAGTGCGTTGTTGGTGATTGCGCAAACTCGAGGTGTTCAACGGAGGTGTGGGGCAGAAATTCGCAGGGCGAGGGGCAACTAGCAAGCCGCCGTAGCTAAGTCCGAGACATGCAGCCGAGAGCGGTGTAGTTCGACAAAGCTGCCGCCGAAGCAGTATTCTCGTTGGACTCGAAAGTAGAGACATGGAGATTGTCATTGTGCAAAGGCTATAAGATTGACTAGCAAAGGAAAGCTCACGTAGCTTTCGATGTTCATAAGGGTTCAATTGCGAATCACGAGATCTCATGCCACTTGATGCTGCATAAATATGACATCCTGCCCGTGGAATCGAGTAAAGGCTTGGAAAACATAGTTTGTGAATGTGGTTGCTTTATTCATTGAGTTATCAGTGTGTACATATTCGTCAACTGCCCGACATGCTCATCTTCGTGACTCCACACCGTCCATCAAAAGCATCAAAACAAAACATCCGTGTTCCATCAACTAGTATCATAAGCTTTTAGGCCGCTCGTATATCTTTCCGTTCGGTAAAGTCGTCTCCGTGTCTGCAGTCCTCAAGGCAGGTGCAAAATCTTTGATGTCTTCGTCAAACGGCCGTAACCGTCTTCCACTGCAGTGCTCGGACCCTTGTCAACTGCCAATTTTTCCTGCAGCATAGTCGTAGCGAGATTACCCAAACGGACTGGAATCCGAGGAATCCTATTTCCCGGAGGCACGTCCTGCTCGAAGCAGATCCTGGAATGCTGATTCCACGCCTCGTTTCACTTCACGATAGCTCACTATCAAAATATTCTGCTCGTCTCTACTAATGAGCGCAATCTTCTCATCACTCCCCGCGTCGAGTTTGTTAAGGCAATCAAGGACATGTGCCAGGTCCGTGACTGGATGGCCGTTTGCGTCCACTTGGTGGAAGACGTAATCGCGGAAAAGCTTGAGGTAGTATCGTTCTCCGGTTTCAGCCCATACAGACGATGGGTTTGTGGCAGTATTCCCCGGTATTTGTTGTGAAGCATCTAGCTCAGGACGCTCGTTGATCATGTTGAGTTTGATAAGGAGGCGCACAATCCTCGATGATTCCAGTTCGCGTCCAAGAGTGTTACTTAGTGTATCCTGAGCATGCAACTCGCTATCAAAAACAGACGCAAATTGGTCTGCAATGCCAGCGAGGAATGTATCAATATCCTTTTGCATTGCTCCAGGTGTAGTAGGCGAAGACGGTGTTCCAGCAGGCGGTTGCGGGCTCAACAACCATTGAATGCACTCCTTCAGGCGAGCGGTATAGCTCCGCGTAATGTAGTCCATGGACTTCTGCATTTGCAGATGAGCTGTAGAATTGCTGTTAGCAATGCAGAGAATGAGCCGCCCAAGCTGAACAAAGTCATCCGCTTGTAGTTCGGTTACAGTCCTTGCATTTTCGAATTGGGTAATGTCCATTACAGCACAAGCATTGAGGCGAATGCGGTTCTTCGAGGTGAGCAGTATCTTAGAAGGAGTAATCACCCTTGCTGCTAAACCAGAACCATGTATAGCTTTTAACGCCGAGGCGATCTGCACGAGATATCCCCACAGGACTTGCTCAGGTACATGGGAAGACGTCGGTTGTCTCCCATGAAAACGTTGGACAGGCTTGAAATGCTCATCCACGAGTGACTTTGAGTTCGGATGATAATCTGTAACAATGATGAGAGAACTGTCTCCAAAGGCCCTCGTGGTGAACGCCTCATGTATCGTGACAACGCTGCCGTTTAGAACGCGCTTCCATGGTTGAGCTGAGCGGATAGCAGTCTCGCTTGTTAGACGAAAATTCTCAAGGCGACGAAGCGCATATGTCTTGCCATCCTTGCTAGACATAGCCTTGTAGATCCAAGTAGCGTAGCCAAAGAGAGCGGTGTTCTTTTGTGGCGTTGTATCCAGGCAAAAGAGAGAGTGATATTGCTCAATCACAGGTAAAGAGGTGTTCGGTAATGTTTGGCGAGCGACTTCTGCCTTTTTCTGGAGGTCCTCTCGGACAGCGTCAGGAATAAAGAAGTCGTGGGCTGTCCGCTGGTAAGCCAACAAACCAGTTGGTTGGGGTCCTACAGGCCAGTACAAATGATAAGCAGGGGTCGTTTGGAATGCATTGGGGTTACCATAGTAGGTTGCTGAGGCGTCCTGACTGTAAGGGTTGAGTGTAGCAGCTTGATGACCGGAACTGGTAATCGTAGAGATATTGGATGTAGTGTTGAAGGGGTCGTAGGCAACGTTCGGATCGACCTAGATTGATTGTTAGCTGCGAACATATCCATAGCCAAGCAGATTACAGTGCAGATGGTACAGGTGGAATCCTCCCAGGACAGAATTTAGTAAAGGGTAGGAAATTTAAGACATACCATTTGACCTTCGAATGACTGTGGCACAAACTCTTGAAAGTCTTGCGTATGCCACTCTAAGGCAGGCTCCTTGTGGTGTAAGTTTGGAGTGCTGACGGCTAAGGATGTCAGCATGCGCATGGTCACGGCGATGGGGGTCGACTCACTGGAGCGCTGTGATTTTGGGGTGAAGACAGCGGCATTGGCGGCTTTGGGAGAAATGGCAGCACTGCGAGAGGAAGGAGTTACAGATCCGTTGGTACCTGCCTGATGTGGTGTGAAGGATGGCGAGTCAACATTGAAGCGCTTTTTCGCATTCTCGTTTTGGTTCAGCTTGGCGTGATCGTGGATGTAGGGACAAGCTAGTACACAGTGTTAGCGCAATGGTTGGCAGGCGCGATGCAGGGTACCTACTATTTTCATATCGACAGTGTCCGTAAATGGTGACATTGCGGCAAAAGGTGTTCTTCGCCTCTGGAACTCGATTAGACCTGACACGACCACCACCACGGGCGGGAGGATCCATACCGCGACCTTTTGGCCGAGGA